ACGCTTGCTTTTAAACCATGTGTAATATTTACAAAGGTACACTCACCCGAGGTCCCTTGTGTGCCCTCAGGGTCTGGGAGCACGCCTTGGGTGAGTTCGAGGGTTACTGGTTCCAGGTCCAGGGTGATAAACATATCCTGGCTGTTGGGGAAACCGGTTTCTTCGCTTCCTTGCTGTGAGCTATCTTCATTGGCTTCATCATCATCTTCCTTGTACCCCGAACCCGCTTCCCTGTTGCGTGATTCTCCATTGATGGAGTCAAAGCACACGATTGGGGTAGTGGTGGCTGCACCCCCTAGCATGGCATGCAGCTCTGCGTAGAAGCGGCATGTTTGTGGCTCTGCTCCGGACCTTCCGTTTGCCTCTCTGGCTTTGTGGTAGGCTTGCCTTAGCTCCTTAATTTTCATGCAGCACTGCTGTCCGTCCCTGTTATGGCCTCTGTCCTTCATGGCCTTTGAGACTTTTTCTAATATTTTGCCATTTTGTTTACTGCTACGGAGTTCAGCTAGCACTGATTCGTCTCCCCATATGGCGAGCAGATCCCGTACCTCCCGTTCTGTCCATGCTGGAGCTCTTTTGAGATCCTGGGACTCCATCATGGTTACCTGTGCTGATGAGCTCTGCATGGTCACCTGTGCTCTCCACGCTGGGCAAACAGGAAATGAAATTCAAAAGTTTGCGGGGCTTTTCCTGTCTACCTGGTCAGTGCATCTGAGTTGAGAGTGCTGTCCAGAGCGGTCACAATGAAGCACTGTGGGATAGCTCAGGGAGGCCAATAACGTCGAATTCCGTCCACACTACCCCAAATCCGACCCGCAAAGGCCGATTTTAGCGCTAATCCCCTCGTCGGAGGTGGAGTAAAGAAACCGGTTTAAAGGGCCCTTTAAGTAAAAAAAAAGGGCTTCGTCGTGTGGACGTGTCCAGGCTTAATTCGATTTAACGCTGCTAAATTCGACCTAAACTCGTAGTGTAGACCAGTCCTAAGAAGTGTCCACTCAGGTTTCCAAGCAGTGATCATGCAAAGGATCACACAATGGCACACTAATGTCTGATATTGTACCACAGGTAAAACAGAGTGGGGTCCTTTAAGAAAAAGCTCCATCCTTTATTTTTCAAGCAGTTCTCTTTTACTTCCTTAAGTGATCATCTCACTGTCTGCTCATATTTCCTCATGCTATGGATCAAGTTCTACTTTAATATATATCTATACAACTTCATTGACATAATCTCCACTGGATTCTCTCTTTTGGCTCTGAAATTGTAAAATTCCTTTTATTCAATGATCTGTAAGTGCTTTGCACGTATATTAGCCTCACAAGATAGTTTTGTGTTATTTCCAGTTTAGCTATTTTATTTTTTTTTACAGATGAGGAAACTGCAGCACAGAGAGGGTAAGTGATTTTTCCAATCCCACAGAGCAAATCAGTCGCACAACCAGGAATAGAACCCAAGAGTCCCAATTCCCATTCCATTATAACCACCAGCAGAACACATTCTCTCTTCAAAGGTTCTGTAGTCACTCAGTGAGGGCCTGATCCAAAGTCCAGTGAAGTCAATGGAAGTCTTTTCTAGTGATGTCAATGGGCTTTGGATCAGGCCCTGTGTCAGCATCACAAAGCTATTCTCATAGACTAATAGTAAGAGACTTTTCCCACAAACATGGGGAAACCCCACAAGTCAGTCACCCTCACAATATAGCACTGCTAGAGGTAGGTCAGTGCTGGAGGCCAGACAGAGGACTAGAAGCCACCGGGCCACCACTATAAAACGAGGATTCTTACTGCTACTGCGGAAGAGTATCACCCAGCCGAACATCCCTGCTACTCTTAAGGCTGTGACATTAGACTCCCTTCTGTCCTTATCCCCAGCAATTCTGGGCCCCCATGGGGCCCGCTCTACATCAGTAAAGAAGCCAAAGTGGGAAAGTTCAGAAGCCTTTTTATTTGTGTAGCATCGATAAGGAAACTAAACACTTCATGATAACCTTTCGTGCTAAGGAGCTCAAAGGTTGCCTAATATGTAGGTTCTGTACAGAAGGCCTTATATTTGATTGTGACTAGTTAAAAATAAACTCTAGTATCTGTAAACAAACCCTGTGGTCTGCTGACTGCAGCACCCTCCCCAGTCCACTCCGGTCCCCTTCAGGTAGAAGGATCGCATTTCAAAGGAGGAGGATGAACTGTGGGGCCCTCACAGGTCTAACGGCTGGTGTCCATGGTCAGGATTTCCCAACTTCCTCATATCATGCAGTTCATTTTCAATTTCAAAAGGAGCATTAAAGTCTCTTGGGAACAGCTTCCCCAGGCTTTCCAGAGTGGCCAAACGTGTTGATTCTAAGACCTGCAGCACACCACCGGGCAGAGCCAAAAGTTCATTTTGGTTTATGTTTGACGTCTGCATCTCCACACATCAATGGATACAAAAGGGCAAAGGTCAATACAAGGCCTTGTGTGCTCTCTTTCAATGTATTTTTTTCTCCTGTGATGTTAAAAAACAACAACATTCAAGTAATTTAGAAACTGCACATCAGGCACCAAAAACATGCAAAGATTGAGTCAAACCGCCTTCAAATGTAGAATTGCAGCCTTTTCTCATTCTAGTTTCTTGGGGAAATATCGATAATATATGGCCTCCTGCTGGAAAGGTGAAGACTAGAGCAGCTTCTGTAGGAGCTTTCCAAAACCAGTGCTCTTACAACATTCACTACAGTGACTTTTAGTGGGAGAGGCTGGGAGCATTCCCATAACAAATGTTTTTACACCAGTGGTAGGCAACCTGCGGCCCGTCAGGGTAATCCGCTGGCGGACCGCGAGACAGTTTGTTTACATCGACCGTCCGCAGGCATGGCCCCCCACAGGCACGGCCGCCCGCAGCGCCCAGTGGCCGCAGTTCACCGTTCACAGCCAATGGAAGCTGCGGGAAGCAGTGGCCGGCGCGGTTCGCCATTCCCAGCCAATAGGAGCTGCAAGAAACGGCGAGGGCTGGCCACTGCTTCCCGCAGCTCCTATTGGCCGGGAACAGCAAACCGTGGCCACTGGGAACTGCGGGCGGCCGTGCCTGTAGACTGTTGATGTAAACAAACCATCTCACAGCCGCCAGCAGATTACCCTGACAGGAAGTGTGCGGCCCACGGGCCACAGGTTGCCCACCACTGTTTTACACCATTCTCTTCTGACTCCTCTTGATGCTGGATCTAGAGCAACTTAGAAATCCCCTTTTCAATGTTTCAAAAACTATTCCATATAAAATACTCAGGATCAAGAGGCCTAGTATGATATAAGTCCCTCTCTATACAGATGTTTGTATGTGAACTGTGTTTAAGGTATGGCAGAGGGCCCCCAAATAATCATATACAGAAACTTGACTTCAGTTTTGGAAGATCTCTAATGATGTAAGAGGTTTTAATGTCAGAGCAGCTGATGGCACTGGAACCCAAACATCTTATTCTTTCAGCTTATGACAGTGTTCTTGGAGGCACATGCCATCTCAGCTCCCCGTTGCTTTCATCCTCACACTGAAAAACAGTCAAGACGGGGGGCAAATGTGATTTACATCAAGGAATCAGCTCTGTGTCAGCAAGTCCCGCTCTGAAAGGATAGCCTTCACCTTCTCCACAATGGTCCATACTTCTGCCATGGCACCTCGACCTGGAGAGCAAGGTCACACACACACAGTAAAACTCAGGTCCCAAGGAGGCTGCACAACTGCTGAGCATTGACATACCACAAGTCCTGCTGAAATTTGGCCTTGTTCCTTCCCATACACACAGCAGTGCAATGTGCCAGTGCATTTTCTAAGCAGCGCGCGCCGCGTGCATGATCGTCGGAGAATTTTTACCCTAGCAACACCCGGTGGGTCGGCTGCGGAGCCCCCTGGAGTGGCGCCTTCATGGCGCTGGATATATACCCTAGCCGACCCAGCGCCACCTCAGTTCCTTCTTGCCGGCTACTCCGACAGTGTTGCTAGGGTAAAAATTCTCCGACGATCGTGCACACGGCGCGCACACATCTAATTGGAATCGATATGAGCAAGCACTTGAAGAAGAACAAGCCTAGTGTGAAGATCAGCTCCAACTGCCAAAATCCAAGGGGCCAGACACTGCCACAAACTATGGGTCCTCATGAGTGGCCCTTGTGATTCCCCTAGTGGCCTGAATATCAGAAAGCAACTGTGTTCCATATGGGCAGGTGAAAAATACCCATGAACTAGCCACAGAGGCTCATCGGTTCTCCAGGATCTATGTGGATTATGTGTCCTGGTTAAATGCCAATTGGTTGATTACAAATATTGAGTGGAAATGACCAAAACACATTAATGTGAGATAATTTTTTTCATTTTACTTCTCATTTTGAAACCCAGAAACTTTATTTTTGTGTGCAATTTATGCAAAATGGCCATTTTTTTCTATGTCAAAACCATGAACACTTTGTATTTTTGTACGCTTTCAATACACAATGAAATTAAGACTATTTTCAAGTGAAAATTGTCCTGACTTTGCTTTGGCTTGCATCCTGAACTAATTCTTGGAAATGTAACAACAAGAACAAAATGTAAAAACTCTTCCTTTGGGATTGGTTACTTGCCAGATGTGCACTAAATCTTTCAGTGGAGATGTTGCTTTCACTCCTGAAGTCTTTTTTCATAGATTCATATATTTCATAAATTTTCAGGCCTGAAGGGATCATTAGATAATCTAGTCTGACCTCCTGTTAAACATGGGTCATATAATTTCATCCAGCTACTCCTGAATTTAAAGCAGTAACTTGTGTTTGACAAAAGCATATCTTCCAGAAAGGCATTCAGGCTTCATGTGAAGACTTCAAAGGTGGAGAATCCATCACTTTCCTTAGTAATTTGTTCCAAAGGTTAATTACTTTCACTGTTAAAAAGTGTGCCTTATTTCTAATTTAAAATTTAATTACCTAACTGCTAGTTAGTTACCTAGTTTCTAATTAGAAATTAGTTACCTTAGACTTGTTTTAGGAAGGTCCCATAATTGTCAGCACCTGTTGGTGAATGATGGTTTTGAAAGAACAAAGGAACTATTTTCCTAAAAAACAGAAAGAACCTTCGTTCTACACTAGGATATTTCAGACCCATAATTCCGAACAGGTGAACTCCCACTGGTGGATTGCATTGTAGATAAGGAATAGGCAGGCTTGTGTGTTAATCTCCATGCTGTCTAACCCTAACAGGTGGAACAGCACCCAACAGATATGGACAAGAGACATCCTCTTGGATTGCCTCCTTACCAGAGGCAACGTGTGGGAGGAGGGCACACGGGGTCATGTGCCACCCCAGATTTCTGCCTTCCATTTCCAGCCAGGCATCCACCAGCACTGGGGGGCTTGCAGGGCGGAGTCATCGCAGTCCAAAGGGCTCAGCAGGAGCATCTGAGTCCTGGGGCTCTCCATGGAGGGACCATCCGGCTAGGCAGCACACTGGGACTGGGCAAGGCCACTGGAGCAGGCGGTGGCAGCAGGCAGGGCAGGGCTGTTGCTGGTGCCTGGCAGCAGGAAGCTGGGCTAGGGGGGAACCAGCAGATCCATCCCCACCTTCCCTGAACCAGCTACAGGTGCCAGGTGCTGCTGGGGCTTCAGCAGCCGCGAAGCCCAGCCAGAGGTGGCTCAGCAAGGGAGGATGCCCCCTGCAGGAGGAGCGGTGCCACATGTGGCTGCTGCTTTGGGCACAAAGCCTATTGGACAGAGCAGCCCCATGCTCCCTGGGGCCGGGGCCAGGGCCCGGGCCAAGCAGGGTGATGGAGGGGAAAAGAGGGCTCTAAGCCCCTGCCCACAGGGCTGCTGGGGAGTCTGCAAGTCCAGGGCGGAAACAGGCTGGAAATCACTCCCCAGCCCCCACTCCAGTGCTTATCTGAGGGGCAGAGAGGCTCCCCCATGCCAGCGCTGCACAGGGCTCCGGACAGCGTTGGTACATGCAGGGCTCGTCTCCTCCTGGGCCACACCCTGTGCATGAAGGTCTTGGGCTTTCCCGGGGTGCTGTCCTGGCCAAAGGCAGAGGGGAAGGAAGGAGTCCGCCGGACAGGCTGCAGGTGTTCTGAGTGCTCCCACCAGGGGCTGGTTCCCTGCACAGAGCTGCTGGGAGCGGGATACATCCCGCTGGCGATTTATGGAGGAGCAGCGGGGCTGGGGGTGGGGACAGCAAGAGAGAGCTGCAGGAGGCGGCAGAAAGAGGAGAGCATGCAAAGGGGCGATGGGTGGGCAGCAGAGCCAATGCATGGGGCGGTCAGGTCCCCCCCACAAACCTTTAAATTGTGCCTTCCACTATCAACAGTTAACGTGTCACCTCTGCTCCTTACAGTTCTGCATACAGAGCCATTCATCTTAATGATCCATAAATAACATTTCCAAGACCTGTCTGCATTTTCCCAGCTACTTCCATTTCACCTTTGGCAAGTCATATCTGGACTGTTTAGCTGTGCAAAATCTTGGTAAGCAGTATGTCCTGAACCCACAAATTATTCATAAAGGGTGAAATCCACCCCAACACAAAACCTACGCACCTCTGAGAGATAATCACAAACAAAATAAGAAAACAAATAAAAATAATCATGAAACAGAAGAGAAACACTCTTCAGTTTAACCACTATGAAAAGCTTAGCTAGATAGGCTCTACTGATAGCTCATGACACAGAATACTGGTTAAGCAGGATGAAAAGCGTAAGCATTAAGAAGTACTTTGCCTGAGCCAGCTGCTGCAGGCCAGTCTGTCTTACTGTCCCAGAAAGATTAAGCAATACAGTGATAAAAACACTTCAGCTCATCTGAGTTTTGTTTTTATTACAGCCGGGGCCGCCAAGAGCGGGTTCGGGCCCCGGTGAAAAATTTTTTTCAGGCCCCCCAACAAGGGCGGATCGGCTAAACAGGGCCGACGAGCGGGGGGTGGGGTGGGGTGCCAGGGAAGCTGGGCCCCGGGCCCCCTTCCAGACCGCCGGGCCCCGGTAATTTGTACCGGCTTCCCCCCCATCTCGTCAGCACTGATTACAGCATCCATTGAGGGAGCGGAATCTGTTGGGAATTACAGATCCAAAAATTCGGGTGTAGACACGGTTAGAGACTTCTTGGGTCTACTAGGGGAAAGAAATTACAAGGGAAAGTAATTCAAGCAAAGACTGTGTGCAGACGCCCTTGCTAATACTGAGGTTTTGCCCCGATTCCAGTCATCAGTGGCCTGTTATCAGTGTAACTGCACCAACACAAACCTGTAGAATAGACAGGCAAAACACTGACTGGTGCAAATTGCAGCTTTCTTTTGCTACTCTATGGGTTTGAACCTTGCTGGCATCAACCGGTGGGATCAGAGCAAACTTCAATGTGGACAAGACCTAAATATCACAACTGTTTCTGGAGATGGAGGTGATTGATTGATGGATGTAAGATATCAATGGTGAGGGATATACAGGAAGGATGGTCCAGTGGCTAGGGTGCTCACTTGGGTGACCTGGCTTCAATTCCCTGATCTGCCACAGACTTCCTGTGTGACCTTGGGTAAGCCACGGATCCTCTCTGTGCCTCAGTTCCCCACCGCTACATTATGGATAATAGCACTGTCCCATCTCACAGGGATGTGTGAGGATAAATACATAAAAGATTGCGAGGTGCTCAGATACCATGGTGTGACAGGGTTGGGACCCACCACCGCAGCGCCTCCTGCTAGTCGTCTCAGGAATTAGCTCAGTCCAGTGGAGCGCCCTCTGCTGGTGGTGTCCTATCCATCATCTGTTCTCTGCTGGTGTCCGGACCCGTGTTGCTCCCCGCTCGGCAACATCCATTTCAGGCCACTGCCCTTCAGCAGTGCCCCCTAGTCCATCCTCACCCCCTTCCGGGGGGGAGGTGATCAGCAGTCTTTCTACGCCCCAGCCACCATGTCCAACCACACCCCCAAAGTCTAATCCCTCCTGTCAGGGATCTGGCATAGTCCGTGATGGCTGCTCCCCATGGCCGATGGCTGGGTGTACTGCAAGGAGGGAAAGGAGGGACCCAGGCTCGCCCTCTACTCTGGGTCCCAGCCCAGGGACTCTCTGGCGGCAGCCTTGCTGTCCTCCTTCTCTCCCCTCGTCTGTTCACTTCCCTGGGCCGCTTCCCCTATGGCCCCTTCCACCCGCTAGGCCCTTCCCTTCAGGGCCTGCAGCCTGGCAGGCTACAGGCTAGAGCTCCCTTCTGCTCCCCGAGCCTGGCCAGCACTGCGCTGTCCACGGTGCTAGTCTCCCAGCTCTGGAGACAGACCTTCCCATCGAAGGTCTGCGCCAGACTGTCTGCGCCCTTCCTGGGCAGCCTTTATATAGGGCCAAGCTGAGCCCTGATTGGCTGTCTCCAATCTTGGCTCTGAGTGGCCCCCAGTAAGCCCTTTTCTTATTGGCTGCCGGTCTGCGCAGGCACACTGGCCTGCTGCAGCCCCCTCTAGCATGGGGGTGGGGCAGACACCCCACCACACATGGTAATAGGGGATCTTCGGTAAATAGATAAAGGAAAAGACAAAAAAGGGAAGGCATGTTGATCCAGATGGCTTTTTCCATTTTGCCAGTCTATTGTGTGGTTTGACCTCATTTGGATGTTTCCATTTATAGTAATCATGAACATGTGAGAAATTTGATGTGACGAGCTATAAGAACCCTAGCAGAACGGTTATGGCCCAGTGTGTTTTTACTGATTTAAATAACTTACAAATGTGTTTATCCAGCCATAAATGTATATTAGTATTCAGTTCCAAAAGGCCTCTCTTTTAGAGATGCACATTATTTAATTGCAACAGAGAGTCCTGTGGCACCTTTAAGACTAACAGATGTATTGGATCTGACGAAGTGGGTATTCACCCACGAAAGCTTACGCTTCAATACATCTGTTAGTCTTAAAGGTGCCACAGGACTCTCTGTTGTTTTTTACAGATCCAGACTAACAGGGCTACCCCTCTGATACTTGACATTATTTACTTGAGAGATCAGGAGGTGTGAAAGCCAACCCCTACTCAGCAACCCCAAAGACTATTTTTAAACATGTCTTATTTTCCAGACAGATTTCTATGCACTGTGTCAATGCACACCATAGAGCTTGGTATCAAACTATACAGCAGAGTTATTAAAATATTAACACAGATGTGCTTGTTCAAACATGATTCTACACAGGTGCTACAGCTGATCTGTTTTTATGAATAACTTGATTACACATTCGTAAAACATGCCAAAGAAACAGCTTTCCTTCTCTATCCATATATGGCCCTCATTACTATATAGTATCTGAGTGCCTCCATTTTTTAATGTATCTATCCCTTCACAACTCCCCTGTGAGACAGGGAAGTACTATTCTCCTCTATTATCCCCACTGGGGCACAGAGAGACTAGACCAAGGTCAAACAGAAAATCTGTGGCAGAGCAGAGAATTGAATCTGTCCCAGGATAGTATGCTAACCACTGGCCCATCCTTCCTCTCTCTCGTGTGCTTATCATGGATTACTAGAAGGCAATATTTACTTTACAAATCTTAGGTTGATTTGAGTTATTGAAGCTAAGTTAAGCCCCTAACCCCAAATTCCAACTCCTGATTCTGCTTTGGATTCCTAGCATTTCACAGTGTCTGCATGGATTTTGAAAATTGACAAGAAAAGAAATATTTTCTTCAAGGCTGGTCTGAGACCCAATTGCAACACATTTCTGTAAACTTTGGCAATGGAGGGTTACAGCACAAACTGTACTTGTTCACCTCAGCGCAGCACACTGAAGTTCACAGGGTGAGAAGATGGTCTCACCATCAGTGTAACATTTCCATGATCATCATGGGAGAAAGCACATAGGAAAGTAGCCAGAGGCCATGCTAAAGACTGACCTTCATCCCCACACACCAGCCTCTTCACCACACAAGGGATCTCCGTGTAGCCAAAGTCCTTTAGTTGCTCCACCTGCTGAGCTGTAATAGGATGCTCCCACATGGCTGTGTTCATAGCAGGGCAGAACAGCAGGGGTTTGGTCATATCCCATGCGCGGATGACACAGGTCTGTAAAAAAAAAAAAAAAAAAAAAGACAACAAGAGATCCAACCCTAGCGTGTTTGTTGCCTTTCCTATTTGCATCTCCTATCACACTGCTGTAGAAGCCCTTTGCCAAGCCAAAGACCATTAGGGCTGGGGTACCCAAACTTTGCCCAGCCACGGAGGAAACTTGTCAGCAGCTTCCGGGCTGCAACGAATTGGCACTAAATGGCAGCAGATTGCAGCAGCCTCATTTCTAATAGGGAAAAGGGGGCAGGGCTACAAAGAGGGCAAGTCCCATCTTTTCTTGAGTCAACTGAGCAGCCCACTCAGATCCAGCCGACAGTCTCTTTGGCCTGCACCTCCACAGTAAAGCTAAGGATGGCCACAAACCATACTGTAGAACTCTCTAGACCGTATTTGAGGGAAGCCAGGTGTACAGTCATTTTGCCTAAGTGCCGTGTCGACTGGATATGCCACTTTTGCCATCAAAAGAAGCATCCCATCTTCCATGGATGTAACTAGCATCAAGTAGAAGAAACATGTCTGGCCTATTTCAAAACATGCCCTCAGCTTCCCAGCCATCAAACAGCTCCTAAATATTACATCAGAATCTACAGTGACAGAGTTTGCAGATCTTTAATAGAGGGCGCAGTCAGTTCTCTGTCTGGCTTCTTGAACCAGCAAGATATTATCTTGTCAGATAGGCAGATAGGGTTTGCTACAGCATTCTAAAGACAAAAATGGACAAGAAGTTACACACCTTGTGCAGTAACGATGGTTCTTCGAGATGTGTCCCCCAAGGTTGGTCCACTATAGGTGTATCTGCACCCCTGCTCCTCTAATCGGAGATTTTAGGTAGCAGTGTCCATTCAACCCACACATGCGCCCTCCCTCCCTTGTGGTCTGCCTAGAGGCTATCTAGTACTGCGCAGGAGAACCCCCCTCAGGTCCTTCTCTACCGCAAATCCCCTTATGGAGAACGCTAGAGGGAAGGAAGGCGGGTTGTGGAGCACCAACAAGGGGACACATCTCAAAGAACCATTGTTACTGCACAAAGTGAGTAACTACCTCTTCTTCTTCAAGTAGTGCCCCTATGGGTGCTCCACTGCAGGTGACTTTACAGCAGTATCCCCCGTGGAGGGCCAAGGCTTCAGAGTGGCGTCTGTTACTACAGAGAGTACTGTGGAGTCGAAGATGGAATCAGAGGCCGAATCTCCAGTGATAGCATAATATTCTGCGAAAGCGTGGGCAGAGGCCCAAGTCGCTGCTCTGCAGATTTCTGAGATAGGGACATCCTTAAGGAATGCGACCAGCGTAGAAATTAACCTCGCAGAATGCGTATGGATTAAGGATGCAGGCAACAGGGTGAGCCCTTGATAACAGTAATTAATGCAACTCGAGACCCATTTGGATAGTCTTTGAGTCAATACTAATGATGCAGATAAGGAAGGAACAACTGCTCGCTCCGTTCGACGCAAAAGACAGTTGAGAAGGAACTGAAGGGGGTTCGCCCGCACAGTGTTAGACAGGCTTGAGGCAGACCATGAGGGAGGGAGAACACATGTATGGGCTGAATAGACACTGCTACCTAAAATCGCCGATTTGAGGCGCAGGGGCGCAGATACACCTACAGTGGAGCACTCGTAGGGACACTACTCGAAGAACAACTTGCATTTGTCCTTGGAATAGTATCTCAGCTGTAGTCATCTTGTGTTCAGTAAACCTTTTACCTGTTGTTTTGTACTGTACGATGTGAACTTTCTCCAGTACAGGCAAAATCTAATTTTGTTAGGTCTGATCCCCTCCAAGCTTCCAAATGAAACCCTAAATGGCCTGTTTCATACATCTATGTTATTTTATTTCCCTCCCAAAAAAGGCTAGCAGTTGTAGAGTTGTAATCTTGTGTGTCACTGACAGATGGGATCTGTCCCCTGGGCCGTGTAATGCTCTTCCTGCTAAGCCGACACTTCCAGAGACATTCTAGACACTCATAGGTGAAGCCTGTCACTCCAGCTGTATTTTACTCATTTACAAGCACTGTGGTTTTCCTTAGCACTGGGGTTCAGCCATTCAGAGTTTCTTGACCTGACTGGCACCTGTCCACACAAATTTCCTTTTGAGATTTTATGTGCCTACATCCCAACCCACCCTCCACTCATTTTTGAGGGGCACTGAACTGGTTTACACCAGCGCTGTATGTGCAGATTTGCATTCTCTTTGAAGATTCCTTAGGTGTCTAAAATTCTGTGACCTTCCCTATCTAATGAGCACCAATCTCTGGTCCCAAAGCACTTGGGTGTACAGGGGGCTCTTGGGTAGTCTGTCTTACTCAAATGCAGGAGCTCACTCCCTTCTTCCACCCACCCCAAGCTACTTGAGGTACCAGAAAACAGCATTGCCTCCAAAAAGACCTCTGGCTGAAACTGGAAGATAAATCTGTGAGTGTGGGTGGGTGAATGTCCATGCTATGCTTTTAGGTGAGGGAGTGAGGACTAGCAGGAAGTAAACAAACTTATCTGAACTCACAGGTGTCTTTCTAGACTGCATCTAAAACACAGAAAGGAAGAGGAACTGGAGAGTGAGAAAGTGTGTGTGTGAGATAGAGAGAGACAGAGAGATGGAGAGGCTCTAAGGTGCAGGAGAGGAAGAAGAATCATGCATCAGGAAAAGGAGGAGGAGGAAATATAGGGAAAGGGATGGCAGGTGAACACCATGAGAGAAGGGCCAGGGAGATGAAGAAGGATGTGAAGAGGAAGAGAGAGAGAGGTATAAGGAGGGAGCCGGGGGGAAGAGCAGGCATTATTAATTATTATTATTAGTAGTAGTAGTAGTATTTTAATGCCTAGAAGCCTTAGTCATGGATCCAGGCTCCATTTCACTAGGCGCTATACAAACACAGAACAACATAGTGCCTGCCCCAAAGAGCTTGCATGAAAAGGAAAACAGAATAGAGGCACAGTGGAAAAAATAGAGGGATGAGGAAAAAGAGCGTGAAAGTTGTCCTCAGCCAGTATTCAGGGCAACTAATGGTCCAGATGCGGTCAGAAACTCACCAGTAAGTTGTCACAGATGCCATTTGCTATTTTTGCCAGTGTATTTGCATCAAGAGGAGCCACTAGCATCAGGTCGGCCCAGCGCCTCAGGTCGATGTGGAGGACTGGGTCCGTACGCCCTTTCCACAGCTGCAGACAACAGAAGAGGCTGGATCACTGAACCCTCCTGAGACACTAACTCATACACAGAGCGCTTGGCACTGTACCAACCCCACATGCATAAATGCCATGTCAAACCACAGGGAAAGAGTAACATCCACACGGAGCAAGGCCCAATCACAATGGGGCTCTGAGACAGCAGTGCTGCTGCTGCTTCATATTTAATCCTTCTCTTGCATCTCTCTTCCTATAGTTACTATTTATATTGTGGTAGCACCTAGAAACTCCAATCAAAGATCAGACCCCCATTGTGCTAGGCACTGTACAGACAAACATCAAGGAAATAGACTCTGCTTCAGAGAGCACTCAATCTACATGTCAGACATCTACATCACCCTGCATGCCAGCACAGGCTTCCCCATCCCATTCACCACAGGGCATCTATGAATCTCAGGAACAGTTAGAAAAGCTTCCTGAAAATTTTACCCTGGTGACTACGCTGCATTGAACAACCCCGGTCAAAACCCCATAGAATAGACCAGATGAGGCCAGCTAGGCCTTTCTCGCTCCATCCTTTGTAACTCTGATCATTCTGGTTTACCCAGAAGGTTTATGCTGCCCTGGAAATTCTCTTTGTGACAGACATGGTGATTTCCTGCAATATCCTGGGCAAACCTTGCTGAATTAAGTTAAACCTTATTGAATTAAGTTTAAGTATCTTTGGAGCCCACTGTATTAAAAACACAAAATGTATGTATTATTGTGGGATTCACTAGGATGAAGACTTGTAAACCATGGGAAGTGTTGTGAACTTCAAAGGACTATTTTAAACAAACAAAGTTAGGTGGGGTTCCTAGGAAGTATCTGGGGGAAGGTGTATAGGTCACAGTTCAGTGCAACTGCCCCTGTATTCCCCCTCTATGATCGAGCAAAGGAAACCCACTCTCAGGCCTGGTCTACACTAGGCGTTTATGTCGAATTTAGCGCCGTTACATCGAATTAACCCTGCACCCGTCCACACCACGAAGTTATTTAGTTCGACATAGAGGTCTCTTAAATTCGACTTCTGTACTCTTCCCCAACGAGGGGAGTAGCGCTAAATTCGACATGGCCATGTCGAATTAGGCTAGGTGTGGATGGAAATCGACGTTAATAGCTCCGGGAGCTATCCCACAGTGCACCACTCTGTTGACGCTCTGGACAGCAGTCCGAGCTCGGATGCTCTGACCAGCCACACAGGAAAAGCCCCGGGAAAATTTGAATTCCTTTTCCTGTCTGGGCAGTTTGAATCTCATTTCCTGTTTGGACATCGTGGCGAGCTCAGCAGCACTGGCAACGATGCAGAGCTCTCCAGCAGAGATGGCCGTGCAATCTAATAGAAAGAGGGCCCCAGCATGGACTGATCGGGAAGTCTTGGATCTGATCGCTGTGTGGGGTGATGAGTCCGTGCTTTCCGAGCTGCGCTCCAAAAGATGGAATGCAAAGATCTACGAGAAGATCTCTAAAGCCATGGCAGAGAGAGGATACAGCCGGGATGCAACGCAGTGCCGCGTGAAAATCAAGGAGCTGAGACAAGGCTACCAGAAGACCAAAGAGGCAAACGGACGCTCCGGATCCCAGCCCCAAACATCCCGTTTCTACGAGGCACTGCATTCCATCCTAGGTGCGGCCGCCACCACTACCCCACCACTGACCATGGACTCTGAGGATGGGATATTGTCCACGGCCGGTTCCTCGGACATGTTAGCGGACGGGGAAGATGAGGAAGGAGATGAGGACGACGAGGCAGTCGACAGCGCTTACAACGCTGATTTCCCCGACAGCCAGGATCTCTTCATCACCCTTACAGAGATCCCCTACCAACCGTCCCCAGCCGTTAACCCGGACACAGAATCAGGGGAAGGATCAGCCAGTAAGTGTTTTAAACATCTAAACATTTATTTTTAACAGAACAGGAATATTAACAATAACAACAATGGGTTTTTCATGATTAGTTTGCCCTAGGCGCTTAACGTTTCAGTCCTGGGCAGTGCAACTATTGAAAAAAAATCTACCAATGTCCGGTTTCGCATGATTGTTCTGCCCAAGCCGCTCTACTGTTTAGTCCCTGCCAGTGCAGCTACAGTAAAATGCGGGCTATATGTCCGGGGATAGAGCAGAAATCCTCCTGGGACATCTCGACGAAGCTCCTGGAGGTAATTGGAAAGCCTTTGCATCAGGTTCCTGGGGAGAGCAGCCTTATTGGGTCCTCCGTGGTATGAAACGTTTCCGTGCCAGGAGACAATCAAGTAATCCGGGATCATTGCCCTGCAGAGCATGGCGGCATACGGCCCTGGTCTTTGCAGGCTTTCCCGAAGCATTCTTTCTTTATCAGTGTCTGAGATCCTCATCAGGGTGATGTCGCTCATGGTGACCTGCTTTGAATTAGGTAGGGGAATGTTAGTATTGGGACTGCTTGCCCGTTCCTTTACAGAACTGTAACCGCTGGTTTACAGCCATGCGGTGGAGGCGGGAGAGGGGCAGCATACAGGGATCTTTCCCTGGGACAGCCGCGAGGGGGTGGGACAGGGGCAGAGTTCATGCTTGCCGGATTGCTGGCAGCAGGGACTGGCATTGCTTTCAATGTGAAAGGAGGCCAGTGCTACTATTAAAGTTTTAAGCAGCCACAAGTCTACGGCTTACCATGTTTGCCTGCTACAGAAATTCTGGTGTCCTGCCCCGCTTCTCAGATTGCCACTGCAAGACCCCAGGCACTGAATGCGAGGTCCGAAAATTCGACCTTGTCCTGAGTGCACATGTGAGAGGTGCAGTGCATGGTCTTGTTCACAGAGAAAGACTATGTTCTTTGTTCACAACTTCATTTATCTGTCTCAGGAATTCACTCCCTTTTTCCCATTCCCACAGACACATCTGCGACTGTCTCCCAACCCAGCCTGGCATCACACTCACAGAGGCTAGCGCAGATTAGGCGGAGGAAGAAGACGACGCGTGAGGACATGTTCTCAGAACTAATGTCCTGCTCCCGAGCACAGGCAGCCCAGCAGACACAGTGGAGGGAGAACTTGTCCGAAATGCACCGAGCAATCATGGAAGGGAGGAGAGGTGGCGTCAGGAAGACCAGCAGGCGACTCAAACGCTGCTTGGACTAATGAGGGAGCAAACGGACACGCTCCGGCGCCTTGTGGATGTTCTGCAGGAACGGAGGCAGGAGGACAGAGCCCCGCTGCAGTCTATCTGTAACCGCCCTCCCCCGCCACCAAGTCCCATACCCCCCTCACCCAAAGTCCAAAGAAGGAGGGGCGGCAGAGTCCGTGAAAACTCTCACTCCACCCCTGCAGACTGCTCTAGTACTAGAAGGCTCTCATTCCCCAAAATTTGACAAGTCCTTTCCTTCCCGCCTCACACAAGCCCCCGTCCAAGTTTCACCCCCCAGTTTCATGTGTAGTTGCTAATAAAAAATACATTTCTGTTAATTACTGTTTCCATCATGTTCTTTTGGAGGAGAGTCTGTCTGAAGGGGGGGAAGGGGGTTGGTAATTGGACAGGACAGTCACCTTTAGCAGAGTACAGAGGCGGGGGCAGGTCCAGCAGCAGGGCACATACACAGTGCAGTCACTAGTTACCCTGGTCAGTCTGGGAGGTGGTTTTCATGTTCTGTGGGAGGAGGGGGGGTTGCTCTGTGACTTTGTGGCGGGGGAGGGCAGTTACAGATCTTATGCAGCGGTCCTTATCCTGGATCACAGAGCCACGCAGCAGGGGATCTGTAACCGTCCTCCCCCTGCCACAAAGTCACATAGCCCCCATATACACACAGTCCCGATCAGGAGGGGTGGCAGGCTCCGTTGAAACAACCAGTCCACCACTGCGGAGCCTGTCATTCCTGGAGTTTAGAAGAGTCATTTGCATCACTACACTACACCCGCTCCCCACCACAGTCTGCGTCCCAGGTTTAAAACATTCCCGCGAAAACAGTAATAAATAAAACGGTGTTCATTAACAAAATAGAAGTGATTTTATTTTTAAACGTGTGTTGGAAGGGGGTGAAGGGGGTATGTAACTGGAGAGGATAGTCAACATTAACTGGGTAAAGAAACGGGGGCAGGTTCAGCTTCTCTGTACACAAACTGAAAAGTCACAGGTTACCCTGCTCACTCAGGAACCTAGCTTTCAAAGCCTCCCGGATGCACAGCGCGTCCCGCTGGGCTCTTCAAATCGCCTGGCTGTCTGGCTGGGCGTAATCAGAAGCCAGGCTATTTGCCTCAACCTCCCACCCCGCCATAAAGGTCTCCCCCTTGCTCTCACAGAGATTGTGGAGCACACAGCAAGCTGCTATAACAATGGGGACATTGGTTTCGCTGAGATCACAGCGAGTCAGTAAGCTTCTCCATCTCCCCTTGAGACGGCCAAAAGCACACTCCACCACCATTCTGCACTTGCTCAGCCGGTAGTTGAAGAGTTCTTTTTCAGTGTCCAGGGCGCCAGTATAGGGCTTCATGAGCCAGGGCATTAGCGGGTAGGCTGGGTCCCCGAGGATCACTATAGGCATCTCCACATCCCCAAGAGTTATTTTGTGGTCCGGGAAGTAAATACCTTCCTGCAGCCGTCTAAACAGACCAGAGTTCCTGAAAACGCGAGCGTCATGAACCTTGCCCGGCCATCCGACGTTGATGTTGGTAAAACGTCCCCTATGGTCCACCAGTGCTTGCAGCACCATTGAAAAGTAGCCCTTTCGGTTGATGTACTGGCTGGCCTGGTGGTCCGGTCCCAGGATAGGGATGTGAGTTCCGTCTATAGCCCCACCGCAGTTTGGGAATCCCATCGCGGCGAAGCCATCTATGATGGCCTGCGCGTTTCCCAGGGTCACTACCTTTGAGAGCAGTACCTCAACGATTGCATTGGCTACTTGCATCACAACAACCCCCACGGTAGATTTGCCCACGCCAAAGTGGTTCGCGACTGACCGGTAGCTATCTGGCGTTGCAAGCTTCCAGAGGGCTATGGCCACTCGCTTCTGGACAGTCAGGGCTGCT